TTCATCTGATGGTTTGTTAAGTGCGAAGAAGTGGTGAACTCTTCGAGACATTCATCACATTTGTACGGCTTTTCAGACGTATGGATGTAAACGTGTTTCTGGAGCAGAGATTTAGTGAACCATTGGTGACAAGTGGGACACTTGAGCCTCGATTTGATGGCACCATTCATGTGGTCAATGATAAGCACGTTGTGATTGATTGAGTGGAGAATCATCAGCGCCTCGGAGTCCGTCCGGAAACAGCATTTCCCGCATTGGATGCGACCCTCACTGTCCGCACCACTATCCGACTCAACCAACTCAGGGAACGGCAGTCTTGAGGCAATCAATTTATCCATTTTGTGGACACTCTTCAAATGTCGGCACAGTTTCTCTTTGTTATCAAACTTTTTATCACAAAAATCACATCCAATCGATCCAATGGCAAGCAAACTCTTTGCTGAATCCAGTGATGAGTGTGAATCCAAGTCATTCTCAATGTTCTCATTCTTATCACTGGATTCACTGCAATCCTTGCCATACATCTCGTGTCCAAACCTCTGTTTCCGTAACCGTTTTGGTGACAATTCATTGTCCACTTCAACACACTTTCGTCTGGTCTTCACATTTGACTTGTGGTCAACTGATGTCTCAATGGATACTTGTCTCTCATTTTTCACTTCAACTCTTTTATTACTGGATCTGTTGCCGACATTTCTTTTTCTGGCATTGGCTGAGCGCTTCCGTGTCAACACTCGCGGCATATTCATAGTCAGTTGATCCCAATGGGAGACAATTGATGGCTAAATGTGAAGATATTTCACATGAAAACATAGCCTTCAATGCAATCATATGTTAAACTCATGTGTAGTATAAGCGCTTAATTCAAAGCCAACGAATGTCTTATAGTATAAGAGTATAAGACTTATACAGTAGTAATGATTGACTCAATACTCTATTTTTATAATATTTAACTTACTCTTAATATAACATTCATTAGTTAAATGTATTCACAATTGAGTATTGAATTGTCAATTATAAACTCATAAATGTACATCTATGACTCATGTACTGTAGACTATGATAAAATTATTTTTAAAATCCTACACAACTAGTTTTAAATGGAATTTTTTAAAAATCTTACATATTAATTTTCATTACTATAAGTCAAACTTATTAAAAGTAAAAATGATATCATTTTTATTGTTCAGTTATTTTGCTTATAGTAGTCTACTGGTAATCTAATATAGATTATTATATAGTATATATAGTATTATAGATTCTAGATTTAATATACAGATGTTACGATTCTATCATATTCTTTAATATTAAGTTGATTTTATTTGTTGTGTACCACACAATGTGTAGTTTAAAACTTTTGTCAAGTTTTATTGTTTTAATTTCATTTGAATTGTATTATAGTATATAATGAAATAAAACAATTTGGAAAATTTAATTTAATGTTTATTAAATTTAAAATAAGATTAACGTATAATTAATTGTGCAAATGATTACAGAGTTAATGAACTATACAATAGACTATTGAGGATTCAATTGATTGATTGCAATATTGTTTGAAGCACTCGATAGTGTTGTTTATGACCAGATTTGATACAATTCTATGGACGCAATGGTCACCACCAGAAGCGACCACATTGTCATCGGTCGCAGTCCTGTGTCTGACGAACCAATTATTTTTCCACTTCCGGTTAGGTCTTCATCACCAGAGCTCGACCTGAGGGCACACTTCTGACAAACCGGCTCATCGGCCGTCGTCTGACATAAATCGCAAAACTATTGATTCAGACAAACAAATTAATTATTTTTCCACTTCCGGTTAGGTCTTCATCACCAGAGCTCGACCTGAGGGCACACTTCTGACAAACCGGCTCATCGGCCGTCGTCTGACATAAATCGCAAAACTATTGATTCAGACAAACAAATAAACATTAATTGGTTTCAATTTAAACATTCTTGAGATACTATGTTAAAGTATGTTAAATGTGTAGACAAACAACTAAAAACAGTTTAAATATAAATTAAACATCACTAAAAATATATAAACCAAATATGGTGTGACATTGATTAACATTATTTTTCAATAAAAAATATATTAGTTTACGAAATCATACACAAAGAAATTGAACCGAAAGAAAAAGTCAAACTAAAACCCAAAGAATAATAAAAATCATGCAAAGAATAGTGAAATATTTATTTCTTATTTTTAATTTCATGTCAAAAAGATTGCAACAAGTTAACAAGTTAGATTACTAACGGTTACGAGTTTTGGTTCGTATAAAATACGCGAAGTTTGTTGTCTATCATAATAGTCATAGACAGTGACCGGAACCGGCTTATTGTTGGCCACCCTATGGGTTCGGTGCGCCGGCACTGTCAGACAGATCTCATCTCTTGTTATCTGCAAATTAATGTTCAATAATATTAAAGTAAGTCTTAGGAAATAACTCAATGTTATCAAATTGATACTAACTCTATCAAAATATATGATAACATTTGTATCGCCTTTTGAGGTATCAATTCGTTTGATTTCCTTGGCCCGGGTAACACTGGGCAGTGCCTCTACATCGGCCACATATCCTGACGGCAGTTCCACTTCCATAACAGCCATATTCGTTGCATTTCCTTCTTTGTAACTATTGTTTAGAGAAGTTATTAAAATGTATCCCAAAAATATTGAATCAATGAATGAATACTAAACTGAGTGCAAACACTAAGTTGGAGATAATTCTCTGTGGAAGTCTTATCGATGAGTGGATTCAAGAAGAATGCGGGCTGTTCTGCAGAGACGGCCAGATTGTACTGCCACGAGACCTGCACTATAGCCGCACCGAAACCACTGGCCTCCACCTCAACATATTTGGTCGAAAGGGGAAGTTCTATGCGCTGTAAGACAATCGCATTATTGCTATCAATCTTCATATCTTTGGTATCGTGTCTGTCGTCCGCCTTATAATTGTATTTAACATTCAATGAGACGGTTGTGGAGGAGATCCGTTGAGCCAACCCTCCCAACGCTTGGATTCCAATGACTGTGTCTTGAGTGGAGGAAAAGCCTCCGTTTGAGTTCTGTTTGGAGATCAGCCAACGAAGTACTGGAACTGCATTTTCGAGATCACTTCGCGCCACTAATGTCAGCAACGCATAGGCCGTCATCTCCACGTCGTTAGAGCGCGGGTAGAAGAAGTGCGCCGACTGTTTCTCGGTCTGATTGGTTGCCTCCTCCCTGTCCTCCTCCCACCACATATAGTCGGGACTCTTTTTGGCAAAACTCATGAGTCGGTTGAATGCATTGTCACGGTATGGACTGTCAGCCAAATGCAAGGCATGAGTAATGATTGATAAGTCATATGGATTTCGAGATGAAGTAAATTCATTCCATATATAACTTTCAGCTCTCGATAGCTCAGCCCTTCGGTCTCTTTTGGCAGTCGTGTCCTTAAGTATAGCAATGAGAACATAGGCTGTCAGTACCCCCAACCCGCCAGTGGAGCCGCCCTGCATTGCTTTGTGATGTACTTCTCCCGGTTCACTGAAACTTCCGTCAGGTTTTTGTCGATTGATGAGCCATTCAATTGATTTCTCGACAACTTTCTGGTCAATATCTACCAGTGCTTTGGCCTGAATGAATGACTTAACTACAAAGGCTGTTAACCAAGTGCTGCCACTCTTATCGTTGTTTCCGAAGGCACTAAAGGACCCGTCGTCTCGTTTGTACGTCAGTTCCCTTTGATATCCGCTCTCGATATTAGAGATGGCTTTGGATTTGATGGCCGGAGTTAACCGATTGGTTCGACTCAAGTAATCCAAGACAACAATATTGGGCACAAAATTACTAAAAGAAATATTTAAATATTTAAAGTTTATAAATGTCAGCAAAATGTGAAATATGTTTTAGTTTACAGCATATTCTGTTCCCCACATCCATAAGGCATACGAAGCAAATCATCCAAATTATTAACAGTCGGTCCCATAATATCTCCGATTCCAGAAATGGTGACCCTTTCAGAACCCGGGACCGCGTTATTCGGTATAACAACTGAAATATTCTTCTTTATCACATTTGGAGAGTCTTTGAGGTCTATGAGAACTGCTTTATTAAAGTATTGGGTTTGACCCTCAGGTTTGACCAGCAGTTTCTTTAGGACAGAATCTCCAGCTGTAGGTGCGGTGGCCGTTAGTTTGATGTCAATGTATCCGATCTTCTTCGGGGTTATGAGGAATGTAACGGAGACGCCATCGTTGGCCGGAATTGTTATGAATTTCTTCTTTTCGGTCACTTTCTTGGTGTCCGCGAACTCTATTTCGTTGGCGGCGTTCGTGAACTCAAACTCATTATTCCTGTTATCCATCACTACCTCCGCTTCAATCGGTTTATTAAAGTAATTGAAAACAATGGCCTGAAGTGCCACCGATTCGCCCCGTATTATAGAGTAAGGCAGAGATAGTTTGATGAAAAATGGACGGAAAACTGTGACCTAAAGATACACAACTTTAGTACCAATTATGAATACCTAAAATACTGTATTATACTTTAGCACTGGTGGGTGCAATACCCAGACCTGTGACCTGATCCATAGCAAAAGCACTAATAAACCAAGATGTAATAGTATCGGGAATAGGACTTGTAATGACAGCACTTCCATCATTTCTAGAATTAATTCAATAAATAAATAAAAACTAAAACATTTCAAAGATAAGCATTGAATGGATTGACCGAAAACCGCATTTCTCTACAAAGCAGTTCACAATAATAATAATTTAGCTATAATTCAATGACTGGTATATATTGAATATCATTGATAGGTCAATACCCGGCCATTTGATTGGTCCAGAGCCAGGTCTCCGGGAACTCTTTTCGGAGGACAATACGAGAGTCGGGTGTTTGAGACAAATGAAAGTCTGGCGGTTGGAGTCTGTCCTCCAAAATGAAGTCATCGAGTCGTATGTTATCACTGATTCGCACTGTAATTACATTTCATAGGTTTTGCACTTTACTTAAGAATCGCCGAAAACTATTGTATGGGTTTTAGTGACAACCTGTGACCGTATGTTAACATACAGGACAGGTGTGAGCGGACATACCATTAGCTCGGGGGGCATTCATAACAATCAATCCCTGTCTATTTGCTCCGTAAAACAATCTCTTTCCGTGTCCTAAATAACATAATCAATGCATTCAAAAGTTGAGAAATTGGTTGGAAAATGCTTTTGTCTATCGTTTTGGTTATCGTTTTGGTTATCGGATTATTTGATTATTATATTACGATTTGTTATCATATTATTAGGTGTTAATGAATTGATTCATTGATTAGTATTGGCAACTGCTTTGCATTAAATGCGATTTCGATGCGATTGTGAGTGAAGTTGTAAAACATGGAAATGCGTTAAGAGTTAAGCGACGGATGCAATGCATACCCAGTTATGGTTGAGTTCCATAACCAAGTCTCGACAAAATTCTTTCTAACTTTGTTCACATCATTAGTCTGTTTGCTATTCGTTGGCAATTCATTTGAGCCAAAACTGGCTGCCATTGAGCCGTCGGCCTCATCCAAGACACGGGGCTCGGAGTCTGATTCAAGCACTTCATGCATGCGATAAAACACTGTAAGCGAAGCAGAATTGAGCTAATTATAGCTGATATGGTCATCACAACAAGCAATACACATATGAAGACACAACACATCAAAAAATCGTAATATAATTATTTCAACTAAATATAACCGTTTAAATGAATTGATTAGTTATTAATTAGTTTACTGTAAACTCTGAAAATCTCTAAGTGATTAAATAGTCGGCCAAACCATTAAATGCTTTAATTAATAAGAATAAAGGGATAAAGTAAGGGGGAGGGGAGGGGATAGTCAATACCCAACTAATGTTGAATTCCATAACCATGTTTCGGGAAAATGTTTTCTAATTTGTAAATTGTTTGCGGGTTTTTGGAGTAGAGGGGGAATATGTGTTTCGCTGGATATATCCATGACTTGCATTCTGGGTTGCATCCCATTTGCAGATAAGCTATCTAAGCTATAAAATTCTGGTACTATATGTATAAATGTTGTAAATTAAAGTATTAGTAATATAATACAGTACATGAGAATAATTTTTTTAAATCTTGAATTTTAAATAATGAATAAATATAATAAAGTATGTAGACAATTTTAAACCAGTGTAAGTTTATAAATATGATAATAACTTTGTAAATGTCAAATGTATTATTCGGTCAAACCATTTAGTGCTTTGATTTAATGAACAAGAAGTAAGAAAGTGTCAGTAATGATAACAAATTAAAGAGTGAGTGAGTGAGTGAGTGAGTGAGTGTGAGAGAGAGAGAGAGAGAGAGAGAGAGAGAGCAAATACCCAACTATTGTTGAGTTCCATAACCAAGTTTCGGGAAAATATTTCCTAATTTGTAAATTTTGCTCAGAATTAGTGGGACTGTGTTTAGTAGGGCCTGTCATTAGTTCCATTGCCGGCACTCCGGGTAAACCCATACGACGAGATGCGAATCCACCTCCCATTCCTCCAAATGATTTCAAATATACTACACAATCAAATATTTATTATTATAAACATGTAAGAAATATTGAATTATTAATTAGAATGTTGATATTTTTAATTTAAAAAATTATGTAGATTGTATAATATTGCTTATACGGTAAATCAAACAAATGCATTACTTGATAGTTTTTCTTACTTTCAAAACTTACTATAAGCTGCTATAACTTACTATAACTTACTAATGTTAAGTTATAATTACAATAAGCTGTTAGTTCTGACTATTTTTTTATTACTTTTGGTTTTAATTTGTGAAAAATTTTAAAACAAAGACTTTCGCTAAACAATACTATGGTACCGTCTATTTATGAGAATAATTTATTATCCAATGTTTAATTATTTTATAATATCAAGATAAATGACAAAATCATTAAATGTGATTGAAATATCTAGCCAAATATTTTATATCATAAAAATGTGAATTTTAAAATTGTATAATGTTATTGTAAAGTCACGCAAATATTATATAATTGTTGCTAAATAATTGATTTTTATATAAAAATATTAATTCTATTCTAAAAATCAAACTAAATTGAAAGACTAATGAGTTTCGGAAATTTGGAAATCATTTCCCCATTTACTGTAAATAATAAAACAAGAATAAAGCGAAAATCAATGACAATAGAGAATAGTTAAGTAGTGCAGTTATATTGTACTGTAAAAATAGTAAATTAATTTTGAAATTTATTCTCATTTGTGAGAGAACATGCAATTTGGTGGTCTGTGTGCACCCTTTCCCCACATTAAAACCACTCCAAAGCCATGTTTCAGGAAAATATTTGCGAATTGTAGGCATAGATTCAGACGACAAAGTGCTGACTGAATCTAATTCATCACTACTTGGTTTGACACTTACGACCGATCGGTGACCAGACTTAGCAGTTCTGGCAAAAATCATCATATATGGCATACCTATCCTCAGCCACACTACTCAGTCAAAATATAGTCATTTAATTGAGTTCTCATTCAACCTTAAAACGAGATTTATTTAGTTCATATTCTAAACTTGATTTTGAAGGACTAGTGATAAATGCAATTTATGTGACATTTATGGCTAATTAAGCATAAAATAGATAAAATGTTGTGAACTAAATATGGAATAAATCGTTCAAAACATTATAAATTGCATCAAAGATTGAATTCTTGGAAATTCCTGTTAGTATTTCTGTATTCCACAGAATTAAATGTTTACTTAAAAAAAGATTAGTCTTTAGTTTTCAATTAATAAAAATTAATTATTAATAAATTAATAAAATTAATTTAATAAAAAACTTATAAAATATTGAGGACTCACTCATATGGATGTGTCGATGAATGAGACCATTAGATAGGATGACAACACCGGAGTCGTCGAAGATCTCGCCGGTAGTGCTGGATCCGGGCCACCACAGAGATCTCTTGTTGCGATACCATCGCGGAAGGTGTCGGTTGGATGTCTTTCCGGTGTCGTATGTCTGCAACTCATTGATGACATCTTGTTGTGTGATATCATTACCAGATTTAAGCAGAAGAACGCTCTGATCGATGCCTAGAATACCGACGTATGCGTTGGGCTTAGTGTCGACCCTCACGTCTACCAGCGCTCCGGGCTTTGTCTCCCTAACATTGGTGTCAACTGTGACTTGAGTTTTGAACACACCCTCGACATCGAAGTTAAGAGCGTCGGCCACCACTTCCTGATTGTCTGGTCTCACATAATAACAAACAACGCGAGCCTTTGGGGCCATTTTATGGGTCGCCATAAGACTGAAGTCAAATGAGTTACTGTTGGGAACGTCGACACTGCGGGCCAACACAATATCTCCTCTTCCCATCACTTCATACACTATTCTAGTGAGAGGTTCGGTTGCATTGACCATAAATCTCACTTCTTCTCCAACTCGTGCGTCTGTTTTATCACTTTTAATAACTTGAATAAAGTTATTGGAGGGCGACTGAGCGCTCTCTATGCTCTCCAAGTAATAGGTCTGTCCCTTGTATTCGGCTCTAAGACTCAGAACCATAATGTCCTTAATTCTTGGCGGATATATCTCAAGAGTAATGAGTCCATTGACTGGTGTCAGGAAGAGAGTGTTGTTCCAATCGTCTTCATTATATGAAAATCCATATTTCAGTTTGAGTTGAGGACCGTTTTCATCGACTGGTTTGTCGTCCTGATAGACCACTTTCAAGATAGCCGTGTATTTGAGACCGGGTTTAAAAGTCTTCGATGTTTTGATGAGTTCTACTTTCACTTCTTTGTCGTGGATTTTAACAGAATTGGATTTATTATACTTTCTTCCGGTGAGGCCTTCCTCTACGAGAGCGAAGAACTCGATCTCTCTTTCGAAGAAATCTGTCTTAAGATTCAAATCGCGAACAATAGTGACGGGAATGTCAACACTTCCATCAATTGTAGTCTTTGTTTGGAACTGTTCTAAAGGTCTGACAGAAAGCATATTATATCTGACTTTTGGTTGAACAGTGAGAGTCACTTCTCCCTTAACAGGCTTTCCGTAGGTGTAAATGGCTTTGACTGTCGCCACCACATCAGACCGATTATAGGTCGCATAGGGAGGCAGTAGTACCTCGACATCGAATGTCGGCAGAACATACTCGGCCACTGTAAATGACTTCTGAAATTTCTGACCCAAAACCTCTACAAATATAGTCCAGTCCCCCAACACGGGCTGTTCGGACAGTTGCAGCTCTTGTGATACGACACCTTTTGATGTGAAAACTCGAGTCCACTGTTTAATGCGATTTCCTTTGGCGTCCTATCATTCAAATAAATAATTCAATTATTTTTACTAATAGTTTCAAAAGACATACTAAAAGACATACTTTTATATAGATATCCAGAGCGCCTGTCACTGAAGGAACCAGCGATGGGTTCACAACAATAGCCCTGAACTGAACTAACTGTCCTGGCTTATATATGGCTTTATCGGTCTGAATGAATACGGAATAACTCTTCTGCTGGTACTCGAGTGAAGTCTCATTCTTGAACTGGAAGGCCCCCCTCCCGCCCACAATGAGTTTGTAGTTGCCTTTAGACCATTCGCCGATTTCCAGGTTTAAGATTCGCGTTTCCGACGGATTCACGACTACTGTCTTACTGTTGCTGTTGAATGAGCCGCTCTCGGAGGGCCCGCTCACCGTCACATCCACTTCGATGGGTTGGGGCGAGTCGTACACCGATATACTCACGTGGTATTCGGCATTTGGCCTCAATTTAATGGGCGCCACCACTGTGTACGTGGGTTTGGCAGCATTTGCCCTATTATTCAGTGTGAAAAGTTTGTGTCAAGTATTTATTTGGTAAAAGTCGCGATTTCTTTGAGTTATATTTGTTTTGAAAATTATTTTTTAAAGAAATAAATTTGTTAATGACTTACACATGAGTTGTGATGATCGCGAGTAATGTCAAGTAGTGTAGAGATATTGGAAAACAACGTTTGGAGCGATAGGAATACATATTTCACATAATATTCATGTAGTTTCTCACAACTCTTTAACGACTTGATTGTCGGCACAAATGCAACGACTCTTTAATGAGTTGTGTTTTGCGATGGATTGGTATATATGTCCACAAATTGATACAAAATAACAACTTTTCTAAGAATGAGAAAAGAAATAAAATTTCATTTTTCCGATTTGTTTATCCGAAATGTTGTCATTATTTTGTTTGTGTGGCAGAGCTGTGGATCCATTCAACAGGAAATCTCACAATTCTCTGAATCTGATCTCAAATATTACTCAAAGTATTACAACAAGAGTTGTTTGACAACTCCAGACTCGGTTAGTCTTTCCTACGCTTATCATATGAAATCACTTTCAAGGTTTGAGACTTATATAGAAGTTATTCTTCAGTGGGAGTCATATATTTACCAGAGGTTTGATAAATTGATATTAACTTTTTTAAAAACATTTCGTGGTTTTAAGTGAACACTTGATAACCAGTTCTTTCAATGAATGCCTACACTATATGTATGCCTATAAACTGCTGTTGTTTTGCATTTATTATCAAATTTAGACTTTTTCTGCGAATTCTATATAAAACGATAACTTGAGTTAATAGCCGTTCATTCATTGAATGACATGTTTAGCTGTTAATTGAATTTTCAATAAACTTCTAAACAGTTTGTTTGTCTAATAAACAGGATTTAAGGGATCGTCAGAATAGTCGCCAATTTATAGACCCGTCACTCCTTTGGCTTAACAATAGCCAAGATTTGTTGCTACCGTCCCATCAATTAGTCGATTAATACTTCATTCAAATTCTTTAATAAAACATATGTTATTAAACACTGTTTTGCAATATTGTCGCCTAATTTCTACAATTACTAGAGTCCTTCATTCATGGTTTTCAAGTTTATATAATACTATACTATAATTATGTACTCATAAACTTCTTTTTATTATTATCATTATTATTAGTATCATTTGTCAAAGTTTGCCGTCTTTTACACGCAAAGCATTTCGCGGTATTTAGCCATATATACTGTATATACTCTTTGAATTAGCCTTCACAGCAAATATTGTTAAATATCTCATAGTCTTCACAAGAATTTATTAAATTGAAAGCAAACATTTGGATAGGTTTTGATGTCACGAGTAATAAAGTTTTTGGATTATATAAAGTATTTTCTCGGAATTTAGATTTTAATAGTAAGCACTTAAATTGTGTTTTGTTTTTGTTTTTAAAATAATGTTTCCTTTCGTTTCATATCTCATAAATATCTATATTTAATGAAAACAATAGGAATATAAACAGTATATAAATCCGAGATGTTTTTAAACAAAAAAATGAAAAATAAATTCAGATATAATTCTAAGAACCAAAAGATGTTGTTTTGAAAACAATTTAAACCATATATTGAGGACATGGGAAGAGATGCAGAGAATATACAGTGTTTTCAGACTTAGACAGACATATAATTGTTGTAAAGACCAGCGCAAAGAATATTATATTTATTTATTGAGTTTTCTTTATTCCCATTTCCCCCTAATTCATGCCCTCCCGTCTCTGCAGAGCCATTTGTGCCAATTAAGTACAGGTATGAATGGGAGTACTAAGAGCTGCAATTGCTTTGAGCTAATAATAAACCTCTAAATCTATACTATTATTAAGTCGATTACATCCGTGTCTCTGCAGATCATCAACACTTGGATTAATAATAAAGGCATTAATTCCACCCTTTTTTATATGAAGTATATTACTGTAACAGACTGTATATGAACTGTACGTCTACACTATAAACATACATTTAATCAAAATTCCCTAAAAATAACCGGAAAATCGTATGAAAAAAGAATTGTTATAATTCTAATTATACGGTAGAATAATATTGTTATCAATATACAGGTACAATACAATACAAATATTAAACAAAAGCATACTCAGTATATTAATACTCTAATAGCCTCAGAACTTATTGATATTTTAAATAAATTGTTGTAAAAAATAATATTCAACCCAAGTTTACGCATGTTAATAAATTATAATCCCAAATATAACAATTATGATAATTACTGTACATATTAAATAATATAATACAATAAATTCTTTAAAATATACTGTACTAATAAAATGTTAATAAAAATAAATATTAAAAATACATATTACGGTATATTATAATATGAAATTGATTTTGGATTAAAATGATTGTATGTTAAGAGCATGTCTTTCATGGTGTTTAAAGTATTAGGAAGAATGTGTAGCTCAGCATAACTGTCCAACTCTTGTACACTAAAGATTCGGTGAAATTCAAAGCTACAGTCAATATTCAAATCATTTGCTTATAATCACTAATAAATTGAATTTCAATGATAAGCAAAATGTCATTTAAAAACAAAAAGCAAAAGAAAATTGAAAACGAATTCCAAAAGATTTTCGACTCAATTAAGGAATTGAATCTAAAGTCAGATTCTGTATTAAATCTAAAGTCAATTAAAAAGTTAATGCAATTCTCACCGAAACAGAGTTCACACAAAGAAAAGAAAGGAATTTATTTCATTATTTTCTTTGTATTCATTGTAATCTCGTATTTGTCGGGCCTATACAGCAAAGAAGGGTTTACTCGACTCTGGTTTTGGTCGCACCGTATGTACGATACAAAGGACACCTATTGCACAATACAAATGCCCGGTGCCCTCCAGAATGCACTCATACCACCATTTGATTGCAATCTATGCTCTCAACTCAACAATGTCTCCAAAGTCTCAAATCTATCCCCCGAAGAGTTTACTGAAAGGCAAGTATTATATTCTCATTCATTCTTGTGGACAACTTTCCCTTATATAATACATGTATGATTATATATGTATGATATTCAACACTAAATAATATTCATTATATTCTCATTAAATATATACAGTAGAATAGAGTTTATACATCATATTGCTTGCATGCATAAAATATTTTTATAAGTTTATAAAATAAGTTATCTCATGAATGTAGAATAATAAAATATAAATGTTTTACTATTTATAATTGATTAAATAAAATAAATATTTAATTTACCGTTAGTTGAAAAGATGCTAGATCCTGTTAACCACCAACAAAGCTCACTTCACTTTATTTTAGACACAATTTAAATGTCCAAATTTAGACAAACAATATACTTGATAAGTAACACAGAATAATGTAAAATCAGCAATAAGTAGGACTTAAGTTTATACACAAGGATTTTGTTTAAAACAATAGTACATGTATTGATTGAAATAGAAGTGAATATTCTTAAACAGATTGCAACGATTGGTCAGTAGAGTAGTAATGATGATATCGTTGTCTACATTTACATCTCATTTATTGTCATTGATTACAAAACTAATATTCAATTGAAATTTTAACGTACTTAACGGCCGAGGAGTGTCTAGTGTTAGCCTATTTGGTTATCATCAACAGAGGGTTTGTGACCTTATTGATCTAAAATTATTTGTAAATTGCGAACGCGAGTTTCAAAAATTGAAAACAAAGTGCTAAAATAACAAATAAATAGTCACTTCATTAGATTTTTTGTGTTTTCCCATTTCACTGATTGTTACATATTTGTATGAAATTCAAACCAAATTCAGAGAAAGTATTCAAAATCAGGAATTCAGACTTTAAGCTAATACTTACTGTGTTTGCATTTTTTAGCAAAAAGTGTTGGCGTTTTCATGATGAAATCACTTGTACCGTAAAGTTATGAGATTTGCATTTAAATCGTTTAAGTAATTGACAAAACTGTCTACTTATTAAAAATACTTACTTTTACTTAATATAGACGTGTTTCTCTCCAAATTAATCAATATTAGATGCAATACAGTATTCATTTAATTAAATTACTCTGACTTTTATCTATGTAGATGTCAAAACATATTCAAATAATATTTATGAATTAAATATTTATTATATTTAATTTAGTTTAACGGCTTATCATATTATATACAAAGTATTATGAACACAAATTTGTAGAAACGGCACGAACTCATGAAATTAAGATTTTTTAATTAAACAAATGTTTGTAAAACACATAAAATACATACAAATAATGATTCATTTGTATTTGTTTTTCAAAATACTATTATAAATTTAATTTATTAATTCGTGGAATATTTAGTGAACAATTGAATCACTAAAACCAATATAATAAATAAATGCTATAATAGCTTACTCTTAATTAATAAAATATTTGTATTGATTTGAGTATATTATGATTGTTTGACTGAATGACAGATACGCTTATTCTGGAGTTCCGGTTGTCATAACCGATGCAATGGTTAATTGGACGGCAACTGAAGTCTTCTCATTTGAATACTTCAAAAATATATATCCCAACGAAAGCCCAGCCCTTGACAACTATGACAGGAACTGTCAATTCTTTCCATACAAAACTCAATTCAAACGTTTGAGAGAAGTATTGAATATGAGTAGAGAAAGGGCTCATTTGGAAGCAGGCAGTGCACCTTGGTACATTGGATGGTTAGACTTTTATTGAATTATATTTTTATTTTTCTAATAATGTGAACTTATACATAATTGGAGTTAGTATTGTATTTATATAAAGTGTATTAGATTAATGGTTTGAATATTTGAACAAATGCTTCCCATATTTTTATAAATAAATTATGGGAAATAAAGTTAATAAAATCGCATAGAATATTATAATATACAATACATATATATATATAATATACAATATGAATTTATGTTTTGAAGCGTTAGATAATTAGGTATAAAAATGCATTAAGCTGGTTATTGTAGTAATATAGTAATAATATTATACTGCATAACACAAATTTAAAAGTTGTAATTAATTTAAGTTACATATATAAAGTTTATAAAATAGCAAAAATTAAGTATTTTTAGTTACATTATTTTTAAACAAATTTTTATAGATGCCACTTAATCAATATAATTTTAAACAAAAATAAGATTTTAATATAATATTTATTAATAGTTTTCGATAATATTTTCTGAAACACAGCAATAATATGTTTTAAAGAATGTTTGCTTTCCATAAATCTTAAAATAAAACCAAAAATAAGCAAAACATAAGTGCATGAAATCTGTTTGGAGTTAGTATTGTATTTATATAAAGTGTATTAGATTAATGGTTTGAATATTTGAACAAATGCTTCCCATATTTTTATAAATAAATTATGGGAAATAAAGTTAATAAAATCGCATAGAATATTATTCTATACACTACACACATATATATATATAATATACAATATTTATATTATACAATATGAATTTATGTTTTCAAGCGTTAGATAATTAGGTATAAAAATGCATTAAGTTGGTTATTGTAGTAATATAGTAATAATATTATACTGCATAACACAAATTTAAAAGTTGTAATTAATTTAAATTACATATATAAAGTTTATAAAATAGCAAAAATTAAGTATTTTTAGTTACATTATTTTAAACAAATTTTTATAGATGCCACTTAATCAATATAATTTTAAACAAAAATAAGATTTTAATAAAATATTTATTAATAGTTTTCGATAATATTTTCTGAAACACAGCAATAATATGTTTTAAAGAATGTTTGCTTTCCATAAATCTTAAAATAAAACCAAAAATAAGCAAAACATAAGTGCATGAAATCTGTGAAAATGCGATAACAAACATAAATATAATAACAAGATTTGTGTGTATGTTAGGAGTAATTGCGATCCATTGGTTGCAAACGCATTGCGACAACACTATCAGAGACCATATTTTATGCCACAAGATTCTGAGGGCACTAAAATGGACTGGATATTCATGGGAAGTCCTAAATATGGAGCACACATGCATGTATGCTATTAAATATTAGTATATTACATTGGATAATTTAGTTTTATTGAAATACGAGTAAATCCTCATTCAATATAATACAATACAATATAAATATTATTATAAATGTAAGAATAAATATTTCTTAAGATTTAATAGTTAATAAATAATAAATAAAATAAGTAATTTAAAAACAACGGATGATTATAAATAATAAAGATATTATTTTAAAAGATTAATTCATCGGAAAAATTCTGAAAATATTTTTATTGTAAAATTCAAGGATTTATAGAGGAAATGGTTGTTTGAATGAATTATATAACAATGCTGTCAATCCATCACTTATTAATAATAACTTATTTTAGTATGAATGCCTTTACATAGTGAATTATTATTTTATTTGTTTGATTGATATATTATACGGTAATAATAAAGTAAAAAGAGTAATTCACATGAGAATTATCATTATTTATAAAAATAAAAAATGAATATGCTTAAACATTAATTTATTATTAATAGTTAGAAATTTAATTATTTAGAATAAATAACATTAAAGAAATACAAACTATATTGTACAGATTCGTGATTATTTTATAAAATTATGAAATCAACACTAATTATTTTATGTATTAATATATTATTTTTCTTATGTAATTATAAAAACATTTAAAGAATTTACTGCAAGCTGATTTTACGGTATTGGTAAATAATTATATATATATTAAAATTATGAAATCAACACTAATTATTTTATGTAGTAATATATTATTTTTCTTATGTAATTATAAAAACATTTAAAGAATTTACTGCAAGCTGATTTTACGGTATTGGTAAATAATTATATATATAATATATAAATTATTATTATTATTATAAAAACTAACAAGACCAAAATTTTGATATTTATTCTTTTTCTACAACTCAAATGAACATAGTTTTAACTAAATAAAGTTTGATATGAACTATTGTAAGAAATTATATCGGATCAGTCATATAGGTCTAATAAGTTATGGAGGTAAATATATTTATGCAAATACATAATACAGTGTTTATTATGGCAGTATTAGTAATAAGTTATTACTATAGAATTATTATATTTCTAAAATTATAAGTCTTAAATTTTATAATATAAAATTATAATATTAATATTTTTATTTGAAAAAAATTTAAATAATTATGCTGTTATAAAAATATTGCATATGAAATACAAACAGGTGGACCATGTTGGTCACCCCTCCTGGCAGGCACAGGTGAGGGGCACTAAAAAATGGATTCTCGAACCCCCGACTGAGTGCTACACGACATGCAAAGTGCTAGAAGTTATCGTGAATTCTGGAGAAATTAGTAAATATAATTGTTTCAATTAAAATGCTGTACAATTAAAATATATTTTTAACTATAAAATCTAATTTAGTTGTACTGGACACCAACCTATGGTATCATCAAACTTATATTGTGGGTCAACACATCAGTATTACTATTGGATCAGAATATGATTAAATATGTGTTACTTACAATAAAATTTGTGTCATATTATGTCAAATATCTTTAAAAATTCTACATTTTAAAAAATTTAATGTTGTTAAAATATTTTCGGTATTTATTTTTGAATTAACTCGTACATTCATTTATTAAAGAAATGCACAACAATTTTTTTGATAACTTATTTTTATTGTTATCTTAAAGACCGGAAGTATTACTTTCAATCGTATCAAGAAATTTATGTTTAAATAATAGAAATTTTATTTCTAAAGAAAATCGGTGTCACTTTTACAAATAAAACAATGGTGTGTTAAATCTTCTCTAAATATACAATTATGTTTAATAAGTGTAATATTGTTCCTGAACATGTAAAATTATTGTCATTAATATCATTAATAATGTGTTTAAATATAAACTTAATTAAATAAAATTAAAAGTTTAAAAATGACCAAGCATATTTTATTTATACTTTAAAATTTGAGTGTATTTATAAAAATTTTAAATTGTATAATCT